GACGTCTTTCTTAACCAAGGAAATTTTATCTCTGAAATCACAACTTAAATCGACCAACGAGCACTTGTCAGTAAATTAGACGGAAAACAATGTGAAGAGGAAGATTAAATTTCTTTTCCTCTTCTCAGTTTTCTATTGTCTTGTCTTAATAGATTTTCTGTCTGCTGATTTTTCGTGTAAAATACAATTTACGTAAAGGGGTTATCTCTACAGTAGTCGCTAAGGTTAATTTTTATTTATGAATATTATTATTATTATTATTGGTGAATCAGTTTAGATTAACAACTGAATTTTTACAAATTTCCTATAAAATTTCTTTTTATGTAATTTTTAATACTATTCGATTATTTATAGCATACATGAAAATAACATTTAGTGGTTCAGTCGATAGAGTACTCGACTGTCGTTCTTATGGTCATGAGTTCTTGCCCCGTGTATCTTGCGTTTTTTCCATTTTTCCAAATTTCTTTAATTAACCTATATTTACTATTGCGTATTAATCATTTATAATATTTACAATTAAATAAAACATATCTTATAATTGTCTCTTAAGGGGGTATTATAGTCTAGACTTTTTAAAAAATCGATTCTTTTCTGTATTTTCTGAAAGTTTGGCTTTTCATAATTGTCTGCGGAAGGATTTGCCTGAATTCGTAAAAGCAACGTAGTTATATATATTTAAAGAACACCGCACACAGCCCCAGCCCTCAGCGTGAAACGTGTAGTGTACAATATCCATCGACGTATAATCAGCATATAATGATCAAATTTTGGAAGTAAAGTAAACCAACTTACTAAATTTCATCTGCAGTCAAATTATTGAACAGATGATTAGAAGTGGGAACAGAAAATAGTAAAAAATCGTTAAATTCGTTGGTTTGAATTTTCGCTTCAAAACATATACATTTAGAAGCACCTATCGAAATCGCCACGTTTTTAGCCGTCGGTATTTTCAACGATGGATTTTCATAAATTCTGTATGTTCTTTTTCTCTATTGGAAGTGACTATTGGCCAGCAAGCAGAGATGTACGTAAATTCTCGACATGCGAGTCGGTCGACAGAAGCTGCCAAAAAGACTAGGGTCGCTCGTAGAGAAGAAAAGTCAGCTGAGTCGGACTTTTTTGAACAAGAAGAAAGTTCACGGTATGATCCTGGGCTGACAGGATTAGTCGAAATTATAACCATTTTCAATCAACTGATATGGAAAGCTTTAAACGCGTTCTTCTCGATACCGCATTTTTTGAAATGGGTGATAAGATATCTCAAGTCCTAGTTAACTGAACACCTTCGGTAGATGTGTCTTTATTGCGGAAACCGGAAATACCAACAAATTCTTTTTTCCCTGATTTTATAGTCTGCAAAACACGAAAAAAGAAAATGGAAAAAATCGACATTCAAACTTTAAAGTGCCTCCATTTTTTTCGATATTCTTTTTATCTTAGTTCACATCATAGCCACACATACATATATTAATCAAGAATCTTTTTGGCTTTTTCGTTTCGAATAAGTAGAACGACCGGAATCAGGTCACCGGCCGGAATCAGTCACCCAGTAGGACACTTTTTTTTTCAGAGACCGTACTAAATAACTTATAATTCAGTCAATTTTGATTATTGTCACTAAGAAAGAAATGGCGAAATTTCTTAAAATATAAATAAATATGTGTGCAAAAGATCGATACTAAACGGTCTTATGGTTTCTCAAAAAATCACAAAACAGATAAAAAGAATGACATTCTAGGCTATACAATACACCCCTTAAGCTAAATAAAAAAAAAAGGGGGATTCCTTCCTCGATGGTTTGTATTATCTATTATTAATTAATTAATTATCAAATATTAATGATATACTACTGGAGTTCCACTTAACACTATATGGTCCAGGCTGTTTGCGCGAAAATTGATGCGTGTAGCCTGCACATTTTAAGGTTTTCGATAGTGTTGCATCGCTTTACAAAAGTGGTTATAACTTTTAAAATATCAAATATTTTTTTATAAAATTTGAAGTACGTTTATATGGTATATGTACATATATGTTTAGTCTAGTCGATAGGAAATATCACCTTTAGCATACAGTATTGTAACACATATTTATAGGTCGCCGGCATTTAATGCACAGCCAACAAAACCATATTTTTATGTTTCTGAATGGTAATATATTAATCTTTCATTATCTTCGTCGATATAAAATCACAGAATAAGATGACACGCTGGAGTATCAGTAAATATATGTATGCAGGATGTCTCACTTGAAATTACCACCTTGATTTTTGTTATTATTATTATTATTATTATTATTATTCGCAGCGAAAAATTACATATTCTGATGTCATTGGTTTTTTTTTTTTAATGGGTGGACGCGTCGACAT